ACCTGCTGGTCTCCGGCGATCCTTCCGCCTCAGCCTTCCAAGTAGCTGGAACTACAGGTGTGCTTCCACGCCGGGCTGATTTTTGTTTTTTTGTAGAGATGAGGTCTCACCAAGTTGCCCAGGTGGGTCTCGAACCCACGGGCTCAGGCAATCCACTCATCTCGGCCTTCCAAAGCATGGGATTACAGGCTGAGCCATTGAGCCCAGCCGGCTAATTTTTTATTTATTATAGGAGGCTTGCCAAGTTTGGGCTAGTCTCGAACCTGAGGGCTCAGGCAGTCCTCTCACATTGGCCTCCCAAAGTGCTGGGATTACAGACTGAGCCACCAAGCCTGACTGAGTCTCTGTTTTCATAGCTTTTTTTCTTGAAGGGGTTAGGGGTGAGCAGACAATAAAGAAACTAAAAAAAAATTATCAGCTAATGTTTAGTGATAGGCACAGAAGTGAAATAGGATGTTATGGCAGGTGACCCCTTTAGATTGGATGGTCAAGGCATATTGATTTTCAAGCTGAGATCTGAGTCGCAAGAAGGAGCCAGCCGTGTGCCAAATCACAGTCGAAAAGCAGTCCCAGCCAAGAAACCAGCATGTGCAAAGGACCCGGGGTGGGGATAAGCTTGGCTTTTGAAGTAGAGAAAGGTAAAATGCCTAAAGCCTGGGTGAGTGACAGAAAAGCAGAGATGAGGAGTTCAGAGGCACAGGTGGCGGCCACCTCAGGTGGGCTGTGCTGGCCGTGCAGCTCCTGAGTGCTGGGAGGTGGGGAAGGTATTATTTTTTACTTTTTAGTTATTTATTTTTTTGAGTTGGAGTCTCATTCTGTCGCTCAGACTGGAGTGCAGTGGCCGCTCCCGGCCACCACAGCCTCTACCTGCCGGGCTCCGGCAATCCTTCCGCCTCAGCCTTCCAGGTAGCTGGAACTACAGGTGCGCGCTACTACGCCCGGCTAATTTTTGATTGATTGTAGAGATGAGGTCTCGCCAAGTTGCCCAGGCGCGGGTCTCGAACCTGCGGGCTCAGGCAATCCACTCACCTTGGCCTCCCAAAGTGCTGGGATTACAGGCTGAGCCACCGAGCACGGCCTGGGGAAGGTATTATGCTTGGCATTTTCTTTATTATTTATTTATTTTTGAGTCAGAGCCTCTCTCTGTCGCCTGGGCCAGCGTGCCATGGCACACTACAGCCACTCCAGCCTTGACCTTCTGGGCTCAGGCAATCCTTCTGCCTCAGCCTTCCAAGTAGCTGGAACCACAGGCATGCACTACCACATCCAGCTATATTTTGATTTATTGTAGAGATGAAGTCTCACCAAATTGTCCAGGCTGGTCTCAAATACCTGATCTCAGGCAATCCTCTCTCTTCCACCTCCCCAAATGCTGGGATTATAGGTGTAAGCCACTGCGCCTGGCGCACTTGGCATTTTTAAAAGGCCGCTCTGCCTGCCATGTGGTGAATAAACTATGTGTAGGGAAGGCAGACTTGAGGGCAGGGAGACTGCGATCCCCCCCGTGCTAGAAAAAGTAGATGTGCCATAGATATTTGTTCTGTGAGTGAATGTTATCTTTTTTTGTTTTTTGTTTTTTTTTGAGTTGGAGTCTCACTCTGTTGCCCAGACTGGAGTG